GTTTGGAGGTCTATAGGAAGGAAAGGTTTTCCTGGTTTAGCGAGGCGTGATGCATTGGTTCCCTGTGCTGGGCACGAGCTGCAGGGCGGACTTCCTGGCTGTGGTTAGGTGCGCTGAGGCACTGTGCTTTCAGGGCACTGGTGTTGCTAGGGCCGTGGCTGCTGAAGAGTGCCAGAAATGTAGGTGCTTTTTCTTGCCAGAGGCCTTAAAAACCGCAGAGAAGCCTGTGGGGATTTTAAGCCTCTCCAAGACGGAAGAGCCGGTTCCAGCAGCGCAGGTATAGGGCTAAGTTTTACTCACTGTGTTCCCTGGATTTTGTGGTGGCGGGTCATTGCGAAGGCGTGTAGAATCTCCGAGCACGGCGTGTTCCTAGCGCAGCAAAATATTCCTGCAGTGAAGGTTCATGCTTGGTAGGCTGTGACTTTTTCTGGCCATGGCTCTGGAGGCAGAAGTCCCAGCGGGGCTTGCCGTGAAAGACAAATGGGCCTTGGGCTTTACCACACTCCTGGTACCAGTTAATGTGGTAAATAACTGATGTGTAGTCCGTAAGGTTAGGATAACTTTTAATACATAAATGCCAATCAATGCCAAGCAAAGCCAGAGCTTACCAAACAGCAAAGCAAGAGAGTTACCATGTGCCTTGTCTGTTCCTTACAAAACTCTCCCCCGTCATCCTGACATCAAGTAGACCACATCCTGGTGGGCATGGTCGGGCACACCTGTAGCCAGCACTTAGGAGGTATGGTTACAGTGTCTCCCTACAAAAGCCTCCTCATATGATACACTGTTGATTTAGCATTGGTTTTCTCTGTGAGTGTTTTCAGTCCTTCAAGTCCATGGTAAGTCTGAATTTTCTGAAGATGCCTAAGCTGGAACCTCCCCAGATAACCCTATTACTGTGGTCCTCTGACTCCCTCATACCCACTTTTCTACAATATACTCCAGAAGACCGTGAGGACAGTGCTTCATGCAAATCTTTTCTTTTGGAAGACCCAAGTTCAGAAAAATCCCAGGAGTCTTTCCAGGAAACAACTCATGTGTACGGCTTAGCAACACCTTGGAGGGAGTACGTCCTCAAATATACCCATCACTCCTGTTTTATCACAACTCACTCCACCCAGTGTCTGGTGTTAGATGTTCAGAGCACACTCAGCTCACCAGTCCTAGCACCCACACATTCTAGAACATACTTGCCATCTTTGAACGGGACCTCTAAAGCTCCCAGATCTATTTAGCTTGGAAAGAGAGTGAGGAAGCATAATGTTACATGCTCCCATCAGGAGCTGAGGAGACAGAAGGGAGCAAGGCACCTTCATATTTCTCTCCATGGAATCCTCCCTTGGCAATCTCCATCACGCTAACAGATCCTCAGTTGCCTATTTTTAAGTTTGTTTAACACAAAAGGTTGCACAATTTCTTAGTTTTGTGCTTTTATGAAAGGAATAGTCACAGCTTCAAAGTTGAAGGTAGAGACATGTAATACCAGAGAATTTAAGCCTATGTTTGAAGGGAAATAGGCAGAAATTAAACCCAATTGTCTATTGTCACTGAACCTGGGTTGATCATGTGGATTAAATGTAAGGAATCTTGGACATGAACTGGTATGAAAAGCCAGTATAACCCTTTAAACTATATTCTCCATGAAATGAGGATGACCAACTCATATTGGAAAAATTAAATGAACTTATCATAATGTCTGTCATATAAGTTTTAAATATATCATTTTTCTTTCAGGCAGATACTTCATATTATGTTTATTTTTAAATTACAATTATTAAAACATATTAATTGCACAAATGACTAGAATCCACTGTGATACATTTGTAAATGCTTACATTTTGTATGGATCACATTAGCTACTTTCCAT